GATTACAATCGAGATGGAAAAAAAAAATGTGCAAAATGATGTAAAAATAAACTTTGTAATTTAAAAAAAAAAGCCAACAACAACAACAAAATAATAATGAGATGTCCCTTTAACAGTCTGTCCTATGTATAACTAAATAGCTTAGGCACATTTAATGAAAGCATACCACCTCACAAAACAACTTATTCTGTTATTGGAGACAGAAACTTACAAAAAAAAAATCCCTATATTTAAATTAAATCATACCTAGCTACTACTTCTATAAAGTTACAGGAAACAAAATCCCATTTCTACATTAGAATTTTTTAAATACACAGAGACGGTTATTTAGCATAGAAAATTACTTGCAGGCGCTATCATATTATCTAGTACCTTTAGGATTTGTTAGATCCTCCAGTGGTAACAGAATTGAATGTCTTAGATGTGATCCAACAATCTTGAAATTCTTCATATAGTTATTTTTAGTAATTTGGAAGCTTACTCATTTTATATCCATTTTGGAACAAAATGGATTTAAGGTAACAACTTATTGATTATATATAACTCTTAAGTTTTTTAGTAGTTATATCAGTGTTTTAGAATGAACTTCAAATTTTTTAAATTATAGATCTTTTTTAAATATGTGAAAATGTTTGATAGATTTAAGTCCTAAGTAGATTTTTATCCTATAGATGAAAAAACAATGGGTTGAGCACAGTTGGGTTTCACACTTAATGTACCAGCATATCCTCAAAAACATATCTGTAACTTAAACCAATATGACCTCAGTTAAAAAAAAAAAAGGTTTATTTTTCCCTAATAGTTTCTTGAATAGCAAAACCTGAGTAAATTTTGTGACAGATATTTAGTTATAACAAATGAATACTTAATTTCAATGATTTATACATAAAGACTTCTATAAGTGTTAATCAACATATGCAATTTTTATTATTTCTTTAAAATAATTTTGGCATTCAGAGAAGTGTATTCATTTATGCCAGCCATATGTTAAATACCTGGTAAATGCTCTGCACTTTAAATAAGTAATCTCTAGTAACAAAGATAAAATAGAAAAGAGAGAGTTGAGAGATGTCATGAAAAATTCTAATCGTACTGTAGAACTTTAAGTGGGGATTTTGTGCTAACGAAAAATCAGTGCTTATTTAATGATAGATGAAAAATGATATGGTCCATGAAGGATCAGAAAAGCTTTCCTTTTGTGTGGTTAATGTTCTGAGCTTTAAGATAAGTGATATCTAGAGGCAGCTTAGGAGTTTAGAAGATTGAACTGTGCTCGTATGTTCTCCACTGACATGTGACAGGGCCTAAAATAGAACAAATGCTGCTGTCACCTAATATGAATAGAGAAATAGGATTGTCTTAAACTATGATTGTTAGGAAAGTTTTACATTTCCACTTTATAAATGTCAATGAGGGCGTACAGTTGAGATAAGAGAACAACTACAACAGAGGCCAAAAACAATACATTGTTTTTGTTGGCTGAACAGTGAGATGAGTGAGTTCTAATTCTGTGTCCAAAATATAATTTAGTCACTGAATGAAAGCATCTACAAACAACTTAAATGTCTTTGAGTGGTAGAATATTACACAACAGTGGTTCTCAAAGTGTTTCCTGGGGCACTGGGGGCATCTCCAAGACATAAGGGATCCACATTTTTATATTAATACCAAGCTACTGTGTTTTCACTCTTGTGTCTTCTTGAATGAACAGTAGACTTGCTGGCGTATACATGATGTGTGATACAGGTGGATACCGAAGCAGATAATAAAATCTAGCTATTTTTTATCAAGCCAGACACTACTAAAGAGTTTTGCAAAAATGCAAAACATTGCAACTCTTTCTATTAAATATTTTAATTTGGTTTGGCAAAAAAATGTTATTTTTATTTAAACTTTTATTTGCCCTACATGTAGTGAGTTTATCATTATTTAATGAAATAATAAATACTTTATAAAATGTCTTCAGTCTCATTTCTAGTATGGTATCAGTAAACAAAAATCCACAGAAACAAAAACTAATTTGGGGTCTTCAGTAATTTTTAAGTGTGTAAAGAGATTCTGAGACCAAAAAGTTTGAAAATACAGGGAAGAACAGGGAAAGGAGGAGCCAGTAATATGATAACAAGTACTCTGTAGTATGACATTTCCCAGGAAGCACCTCAAATTTTCATCTGTCAGAGTCTAGAAATTATTGAGGTAAGTGGATATGTGTGTGAGAGAAAAAAAATCACTAAGGAATATGGGCTATGGAGTCAAAGAAGAGATGAAAATTCCAATCTCTAGTTTTAGTTGTTCTTAACTTTTGTTGTACGTTGGAGATTTATAAAGTAGACTGATGGACTGTACTCCCATTTCTATTGAACCAGATATGCAGAAGGGGGGGTTATGGATTTTTTTTTTTAAGCTTCTTATATAGTTTGATATATGGCTGTTAAAATGCTAAAAATGTGAAAGGATCTTCTTAGAGATAGTAGTTGAAATACTAAGAATGAAGGTGTTCTGGGCCCTCCCTGGTGGCACAAAGGGTTAAAATGCAGCACTATGAAGCTATCCACAGCCTCTGCAGCACAGTTTGATCCTCTGCCAGGGAGGTGACTCCCATCGTGTGGCGTATCTCTCCTGTCCAACCCTCTGTTCCCCTCAGCAGTGTATTTCAGTACACCTGCCTGTTCTCCCCACTCTGTCTCTGGTGAATCCTCTCATTCCCCACACCTCTGGCCTGTACCCCAGTTCTTGTATACATATATAAATCTTTTTTAAAAAATGAAGGTGCTCTGTGAAGATAGAGGGCCAAATGAATGAAACTGAGAAATAACTATTGCATTACATGATGCCTCTAGTGCCTCTACATAGACCTTTTTAGAATATAAGGCAGTTACTGAGGATAAAAGGGAAAAGAATGTCATATGACAATGAAATGGTGAAAAATAAAACTACTGTTAAAATTGAGACAAGGTAATGAAGTTTGCTCAGAAGTAGAGAAGGACGGCAGAGGGATGGACCTACCTTGCTAGAACATAAAGGTGGAACCACTGATTAAAATAAAAGATAGGGGAAGCATGATGAGTATGGGAACAATATATGGGTAGGGTAAGGTGGGGTGGGGTGAAGCAGTAGAATAGAATTCTATTCCCAGGAATAGAATTCCCATGCTTTTCTCTTTCTTTTTTTTTAAAGATTATTTTGTGTACAGAACTGGGGTACAGGCCAGACGTGCAGGGGTGGTGAGAGGATTCATCAGAGACTGAGCTATAAGCAGAACAGGTAGATTGAGGAAGTTTACTGCTGGGGGGAGCAGCAGGCAAGACAATAGAAGTGCTGGGCCCCTTCCTGCTGAAGCAGCTGCAGCTAACTTGGTAACACTATGTTCCAACCTGTTGTGCCACCAGGGAAGTCCCTCTCCTCCTTTATTCAGTCTTATTCTTGCTATTGAGACTTTATCACGTCTTTTTCTTTTAAGTTTAAAATTTTGGTATAATAATTCCTTCTTTAGTTTTTTGGGGTTTTGTTTGTTTGTTTGTTTGTTTTTTTGCTCTAGTCATTCATTCTATTGGAATGAATATTTAACATTTCTTAGTTCCTTTCTCAGTTGATTATAATGTCTTGAGAGCCACAAGAGCATTTGAAATGATCTTACTTGCCGCCTTTTCCCACCCTTCCCCCTGCCTCTCTCGCTTCCCCTGTACCTTCTTTAAATCTGAGATATTACTTCTGGGTTCATGTTCTGTTATGAATCCCAAAACTCCCATTCCTTGTCCCGTGCACTCTGTATTCCCATTTAAAGCCCTCTTGATTGGAGCCTACCATTTCTTTCTCCTTACTCTTTTCCCTAGGCATTCAATATTCTGTGGTCACCCATATGTTGTACTTACCTGTCATATCTCTTTCTGCTCCCATCTTTCCTCCTCTTTAGTACCCAGCTCAGAGCCCATCCTTTTTGTGAAATATACTATAATTAGAACTCCCTTACACTATTTTTTTAGTTTTTATTTAACAATTTGGAAACGTATTCCATTTTTGGAACCTCACACATTTGTACTTACTCACTGTTTTGCTGTTTTCTAACTGACCTCTTGAGTAGTTTTTTTTTTTTTTTTTGCCTCACATTTCTTATTTGCAAAATTGAGAAGTTAGCATCAACCTCTTTAAGTTCTTACATCAAATGGTTGAGTTAAGTGCAGTCTCTAACACAGGTGATGCTAGCTGCTTTATTGTTACAAGTAAAAATAACAAATAGTTGATTTAATTTAAATGTATAACTTTTCCCAACTTGCTTAGTCTTTGTTTAGTTGCAATTCTAGAAGGCAGTCACAGTAGCAATAATTTGATTTTTTTAATTATATCATATTTCTTTTTACTGATTATAAAAGTACTAAGTTTCTACCTTTAAGACTGAGGCTTAGTACCTATGAAGGAACAAATCTGGAAAAACTGCCTTTTCCGCTTTGTTGCCATGCTGGTAGGACTCTCTTGGAAACTGTCTGTGGGGGTTTATAGCTTAAATTCACTGGAGTGTGAGAAAGAACAGAACTTTAGTGATGCCTAACTAGACAGATGTCTAAGGCCTTCCAGATTTTGTGCTCTATGCACTTTTCTTGCCTCACCACAGTTTCAATTTGCTGAGAATGTGAACAAGCCATGAAGGACTCACTGGAAGTAGTAAGAAAAAAACCTTTTTTCTTCCAGAGTCCCTCCAGTGCCCTCTACTGACAGAAGTTAACATTGTGCCTGCTGATCAGGCAAAAATGTTCAGTACAGTGCAAGGTAGAAAAGAGTGAAATGGGAGCTGAAATAACAATCAGAAAATCATGTTAATTTTATAGTTGACCCTTCAGTAAAATGGGGGTTCAGCTGCATTGATAGTGCACAGCCAAAAATTTCTGTTTCCTTTTAATTTTTAAGATTGAAAAATCAAAAGATATTTATTAGATAAATACATTTAGGTTAAAAAAAAAAAAAGCACAAAATATTCTCCTTGTCCATTGTGTTCCCTCTGGATTAAAACTGTGATCATCAGTCCACATGAATTTTCATATGCTATAGATATTTGCTGTTTGTAAAAGTCATATTTGGGCCCTCACTGGTGGCACAGCGGGTTAAAGCACAGCACTAAGAAGCTAAAGCCACTTCAGCATGAGTTCTATCCTGACACTGGGAGGTGACCACATGGCGTGGCAGATCTCTCCTGACCCGCCCATTGTTCCCCTAGGTAGTGTGCTTCGTCAGCTTTGTCGATTTGCCTGTTCTACTCCCCATTCTGTCTCTGGTGAATCTTCTCACTGCCTCTGCACCTCTTGCCTGTATGCTAGTTCTGTATGCATAAATAAATCTTTTTTTAAAAAAAGTCATACTTGACATTTATTCTACCTAGTGCTTTTTATATTTTTAAGTTTTCCATTATATCATAAGTTCAGTTTTATCTCATTTATTTTTTTCATCTTTATTTTTCTTCCCTTCCACAATCCTTCATTTTTCTTTTATCTTTCTCTCCCCTCTTAACCTAGGAACCCTTAAGGTGTTTATTGATATCCACTGGTTTTTGAAAGTGTTTTTACCTTTTCAAGTTTGTTTTTGCTGTTTATTACTATACATAATTTTCTCAAATTCCCTATATTTTGTTGAAAATGGCTGCATTCCATCCTTTTTGGGGCTATATGTACTACTCCATAATATGGAGTTAATGCATACTGGCTTTTTAAAAAAGATTTATTTTTATTTATGCATAGAAGAACTGGGGTATAGGCCAGAAATGCAGGGGGGTGAGGGGACTCACCAGAGATAGAGTGGGGAGCAGCACAGGCAAATGTATGAAAATATACTTCTGAGGGAAGCAGTGGGCAAAACGGGAGTGGTCTGGTATGCCATGTGAGTTACTCCCTGGCCAGGAATTGAACTCATGCCTCAGCCTCAATGGCTGGGATAGCTTGATAGTGCTGAGCCTTTAACCCTGTGCCACCAGGGAGGTCCTATATCTTGACTTCTTGATCTAATCTGTAAGAGAACACTTAGTCTGCTTCCATGTCCTGTCGAGTAATTTTTGACTTTCCCAAAACTTAACTCTTGACTGATAGCCTTGCTGCTACAGTTGATTAACACATATTTTGTCAGTTAACGTGTGTTATATATTTTATTCTCAAAAGAAGCTACAGGAAAGAAAATGTTACTACAGTCACAAGGAAAAGAATACATTCAATTTACTGTATTTATTGATACTATACATTTATGTCATGTGTTTACAAAAAATCATCCTGTGAGTGAAAACTGTGAAGTTTAAATGTGCATTGTTCAGAAGGTCAGTTGTGTTACTTTGATCATGAAACTTTTCTTTTGGAAGATACTACATATTACAGGTATGTAGTATTATATGGAATATCATTCTAAAGACATTCCTCCCCAAATTAAGAATGCGCACTATCACACTTGTCACTTTACATGATTCTCTGGAATTTCTGGTCATTGCAATAGAAGTAAAAGAATTTGAAGTATAATTATTGGAAAAAAAGGCTATCAGAATTCCCAAGAAAATAATTTGAAACACTGTTAGAACTAATAAATGAGTGCCGTGGGATGGATGATTAAAAATTACTAATTGTAATCTCAGCTTTCTATAACCCTACAAGTTACAGTATGAAAATTATTATTAGCAAAGTGACCTTTTTTTGTGATTGACAACAAAATAATTGAAAACAGTAACAAGAATTTCTAGGACCAATTGAATGAAGGAAAAGCTTAAAACTTTGCTAAGTCAGTTTCATGGCAAAAGAAGACTTGAATATATGGACAGAGATATTGTAAAGTTGTCAATTCTTAAAAATTTATTTATAAAAAAAATAAATAAATAAAAATTTATTTATAAATTTATTACTGTGTTAAACAATGAAAGAAATTACAGAGCTTGACCTTGAAAACTAATTTCTTAACATGGCATTTTATTGATGGAGAAATACAGAGAGCCAAAAATCAAATGGAATATATATTTTACTTCTATATTTTGTACATCATTATTCATTTTTGTACAGTTTGCTTACTCCTCTGCTCCCCTCAGCAGTGTATTTCAGTACATCTGCCTGTTCTGCTCCCCACTTTGTCTCTGGTGAATCTTACCCCCGAACCTCTGGCCTGTACCCCCAATTCTGTATGCATAAATCTTTTTTAAAAATGTACATATCACTGCAATGTTATTTATAATAGTGTAACATTAGAAGTAATTGAAATGATTAGTATAAAATAGAATCAAGAATGGCACATTTGAAAAATAGTGAAACAAAAAAAATGAGATAATATTCACAATATGCTATTAGCATAAACTAAAAAATAGCACAGAGTATGTGTGAAATGTGGCTTCTAGAAAATTGAGTCAGTCCATCTCCTTAGCTCTTGCTGCTCAAAATTATAAATAATCTCATGATAGTCTTGAGTTGCTTAAAAGTAGCTGAAAGTGGCCCTCCCTGGTGGCGCAGCGGGTTAAAGCGCAGCACTGAGAATCT